CGATATATAATTCACCTATTGACAAAGGTGTTAATATGTGTTGCTGGGATTGGTAATGGACACGGCTATTTATAAAAAGTCAAATCAGGCTACGATAGAAATAACCACAAAATAAATGTATAGTATACGCAGCATAACTTTAGAAAAGTCGATACAGAAATCTATATATTTCACCTATTGACAAAGGTTTTAATATGTTTTGCTGGGATTGGTAATGGACACGGCTATTTATAAATTATAGTTGACCAAGAACATATGTCAGTGGAGTGACAAATCAAGACAAAATCGCTTATTTTAAGAGTTTAATGGACCGACATACCTTACGGCTGAAAATCCACATGACGATAGATTATACATATTACTATCATTTTAGCCCTGTCGTAGTGTTTTCCCACGGTGCAGTGTTTTGTGAAATCGCAGTAAAGCGTGATTTTCGGCTGTTTTTTCATTATCAAACACGGGAATGCTTATAATTAATTCTTGAATGAAGATATCAACAAAAAATTGCTATGAAATGAAAGAATAATATATCAGCTTTCATTTAATATCAAAGTTAGGCATAATTTGAAAATACACATTGAGTGAGTTTGAAGAATTTCAATTGCACGTGACATTTTTTTTTCAATCTTAACGTCTGTCAAAGTATATTATATTTATTACATACATCAACCGTAGTCGATTTTGACAAAAAAATAGTGGAACAACCCATGCGTAAAAAGTTTTAATATATCAAAGTTTGATAGAACATACAAATCAATTTTTACAAGCCTTTTTATAATATTCATCATACAGCAGTTTTACTATTCAATATTCACCTCAATAAGTCATGTAACGCTCCCTTTTCCTATTTTCTCCTGTGTTTTATTTCACAATGAATTAAACATGCATTTTCTTAATTTTTGTAAAGAAGAATGTAGATTTGTATCAATGTTTGTGTCTAGGTGTTTGAATAATTACAGATGTTAAGGTTTAATAACTTTTGAGGAGTTTGTATTCTTGTTGAGTTTTTCGAATAGACTAATTTTAAAACACTGGAACACATCACAATCTGGAAAATTATGGGCAATGCTAATTCCTTTAAATAAGAACAAGTAAAGTAGCTTATGTCGGGTTATAAAGCTTTACATGTACAAGAAGAATACATTTTGATACATTTGAATTAGCGATAAAGCAATGCGTGTGATGATGAATCAACTTTTGTTAAAACGCGCTCTATGGCATTACCAGTCTAGATGTTTATTCTGCAAACAAAAGTCATACAACGAGCTAAGCAATTAATTCATGTCGAGTCATATGAGCGTTCCGATTATGTTTTAAGTGACGCAAATTACCAGGCAGGCTATCCAGTGGTGAGCTTACTCTTCATAGATAATTTTAAGGACAAGGCGTTGCATCATTCAGCATGCATTGTTAACTACTAGATGAATTGAAAAAATAACTCGCTTCAGATGCTTCAAATCAGTCGGAGCATGATGTTGCTTTCCAAAAAATAAAAGAAAGTCTACATTATGATCTGTTTGTGACAAAAATCATTTTCGTTGTCGTATAATTTGCTAGTTACATATTATTTCTTTCTTCCAGATCCTTCAAGGTGATCTGAATAAACCCAAGGGTGAAATCGGCGCTTGCTTAGAGTGCTAAATTAGTGAGACTAACTCCTTCAGATACATCATTTAGACAGCACATTCTTCGAGTTTTACTACGTGTAGATGAGTTCTGATATTGCCAAACCACTACCTAGGTCATCTTTGGAATATGGATATTGGGAATAGCTCTATAGTTGTAGTATGCTAGTATTTTAATCCAATGTCCTATAATCTTTTACAGGACCTTTTTTGGCATGTGAAGGCAAAATTACTTGATGCAAATCTTGCGTATGCTACATACAGAATGTGTCGTGCGCCTGCATCTGTTGTCAGGGCAGTGGTGATTGTAGAAACCAGCTTACTCATCAGATTATTTTTGAAGATTGCTACAATAAAGATGATGATCGAAGAAATATTAATCTCAATGCCCAATTTTTCAAGTTTTCTGCAGTTAGTGGCCTCCGACTTGATGTGGTTGGGGATCTCTCTCTCTCTCTCTCTCACACACGCAACAGAACAACAAAAACAAACAAACAAACCTGCCAGTTTTCTCGGACCTGAACACGGTTGGTGCGTTTTCAAAGCAACTGGAGATATTTTTGTATCGAATATTTGTGTATCGGAAGTATTACATACAATGACATCAACATATTTTTTTTCTTAGTATTTCGTTACCTTTTCAAATGGACGTGCATATTGCTGTCTAGTGTTTGTGTATTATATACTTAGACAGCTTCTTTTGTAGCGTAATATCTCTGTGAATCGTGTTTGTTTGTAGTTCAAATATATATCGAGCTTTCAAATCGGTTGTAGTCATTTTTTGTCTTCTTTTATGAAAAATGGGGACACAAGTTTTGTACTGATTTATCTATTAACATACAAAATAAAACAACTTCATATACTATAGTGTTAATTGTTACATTAATGCATGAAGACTATTTTTTTATTGTTCGAACATTCTTTTGGGTTTAAATAATCAGTAATGAATTTCATCATTTTTATCACTAAATCACGGACCGGGTGTTAACCTGTCAGTTCTTATTTCGCCTCTGTTCTTTATGGCATTTAAACAAACTTTCCCAAAAATATCTTTATATGTTGTCATATATCATTGCATAGCTAAATATTAAATATGAATATTTTGTCTATAATTTCCGTAGATAAAGATATTTTTTTCATTTTCTTATAAGTTGGAAGCGAGGGTATACATCACTAATCTCTGGCAATCAGGCATAAATATGACTAGCGGAATTCGTGGAGCATTCCCAGGGCATTCCATAGAAAAAAGTTTCTCAGTTATCATGGGGGACTACCGAGAAATTGTCCAAAATGTCAAAAAATTGCGATTTTTTTAAAATCCCCCCTTTTGACCTTTCACCACAGTTTTCAAAAATCTGCACCACTTTGGCACCTTACGACATGCTTTAATCAAAGGGTATTATATGTATCTTCAAAATAAGACCAAAATTAGCCGTGAGGTATTTCGGTCCTTTAAATATTTAAATTTACCTTACTTGTCACCGTACTATTTCTTTTTATAACTAAAAATGAAAATTGCACGGGCAGAAAGTATTCAATTTTGGAACAATTCAAACAAAATATTGCATTACTTTATGAATTTAATGTGTTACATTAGATTCATTTTTACTTTCACCAAATACCAACAAATTTCATATCATTGAATTTAAATTTTCATTTCTGAATCAATTTTATCATTTATTACTACACTAGACAATCAAAAAAGGAATGAACATGTCGTGGAAAAAAGTGACAATACTTTGACATAAGGAAAACTAAGAAAAAAACCAAAGTCAACAAAACACTACATCAGAAATGAGCAGCAGTTCCTGCGCTACTAGTGACACGCATCGTGCTATTCCCATTAAGGGTGTTCGCTCCTCTTGTTTTTGAATGTTTGCCAGATATTCGGAATGCTCTTGTTTTATCCATGTAGTGCCGTTAAAAAATTGGCCCGCTAACCTCTACTTTTCTTTTCATCTTTTTATTACATATAGTTTAAAGAGCCATATTTAAAAATCGTATAAAATCCTTGTTATTTTTTCATTGTTTTAGAAAGAAAATAGGTGCTAATGTTAAATGTATGAAAAAGCAAGAGAGAATCATTTCCTGCCAAATTTTCAATAGCTTATATCTCAAAAACCAGCACACGAACCCTTCATTTTTTATTTGCTTTTTAGTTCCTTTATTTATATACTATCAGTTCATGACAGTCTTTCAAACTGCTTGTTATTTTGCAACAGAGGAGCAGACATCCTTAAAACACGTTGATCTGTCATGTCATGTGATAATACGGATTGATGTATACCGTTTGTAAAATCTCATAACATTACCATATTCATCATATAACGGTACATGTACATTCTCTTTCCCTAAAAATTGACAATATGTAAAAGTTTCAAATATATACAAGGTTTGTTTCAGCGTCAGTCATGTTTTGTGGATTTTGCCTATTTCAAAGTTACCTAGGAGTTTGGTATTTTTTGTTAATACTTTTTTGCAATATTTACTGTTTGTTGACCATTTTCAGAATTTAGTATTGCAGTAAGTAAAAATAAAGTCCAACTGGGTGAGTCTAATTTACAAATGTCTATGATGTATATTGAAAATGTATGAGGGTGTTTTTTTCAACAATTTGATCTTATTTTATGACAAAGCATGATAAGTGTAGGATTTCCAATTACATATAATGACATCTTGGTAGAGATATATAGAGAATATCATATGGCATTTTCAATATCACACCCGTATCAACCCGAGACACCAATATAATCCCAAGAGCTCTGCTCGAGGGATTATATTGGTTGAGGGTTGATACGGTGTGTGATATTGAAAAAGCCATATCATATACACTTTATTATATACATGTACCTCACGTAGATGTTTTTTATGTGACATGACGTCATACATATAAGGGGATTTGAAATGACGTCATACAGTTAGAGGTTTGAAATGACGTCATACAGGTTAGGGGTCTGATAAAGCCTTTGCAACAGTGACTGCAATCGATGACGTGACGTCATACGGATTAAAGGTGTGATAAAGCCTTTGCAACCGTGCTGATATCGATATCAGCACGGGTGGCTGATACAGCACGCTTGCCAATGATTGTATTACACATACAATGTATCTGTATTTACTAATAATAAATATATTTATATCACCGAAATAACAATAATACAATATTTAACTGTCACTACTTTAAACAATTAAATGGACAAAAGAAGTAACAAAATCTCCCAGTAAAACGGAACTGTGATTGATTTAGTGATTAACATTCTTTGAACGATCAACTCCCGTTGTTTTTACTAATTTAAATCCTGATTAGGAATGTTTTATGTATATTTTATTTTTCCCCGTTGCATGTTAAGTGATTGAGTATTAAGTGCATGTTAACCTTGTGAATCATCAAGAAAAAAATATCAATATAAATACAAAGCTGATAGGATTTTATTCTAAACGTTGCGAGTTTCTTGATTCACTACTGTAACAGTGAGTATATCGTTACTAAAGTAAGTGTGTTTTTAAATTATCTTTATATTTTCTTAATAAAGAGATTATTTCTTACCATTTCCAATGTCATCAAAGATACTTTTAAGTCGTTCCTGTCAGCAAGAGGCATAATAGAGAGCCAAAGGGGTCAACATTCTGAAATTTTTGTAAATTTTAATTTTGTAACTCCTTTTATTTCAAATTCTTATAATTCTTGCAATGTTCGAGTTAGTAGACGACAATTTGATATACATTCTGGGGGAGGGGTAAGTTAGCAAGGAGAATGTTTATCTGTTGCTGCGTATTTTTTTCACGGTTTCGCGCAGTAATTATTTTAACTTTTTACACAATTTTTCTCGCATTTTGTCTTGTTGAAAATTCTTGTTTAGCATCACTTACCAGGTCAGGATATTCCTTTTTAAAATCCTTCTCCATCCTTTTCCATAAAATCAAATGGTCGTCTCCTTCCGTAAATTCATAAGGAACACATGAGTGTTGGCTGTGCTAATTATGCTGTATCAATCGATAGCATGCATAATGATATTGGAAAGGAAGGATAAATCTGAAGAATGGTTACCTTTCTAAAAAATGCCAATGTAAAATATGCCAATGATATAAACATGAGTGAGGCCCCTCATGGGGGTGTCCAAGAAATCATATAATCACATGTTTTTTGCCAATATAATCACATAATCATTAATTATTTTTTGAAACAAGATACAGCCCTAGATTATCATATAATCAAATAATCATGAAATATTTGGTTTGGTTTGGTAATCAAAAAATCACTATAAAAACTGCCAAGTAATCACATAATCAAAAACCCCATGAGGAGGCTCATGAGTAGACAAGGTTTAAGGCTGTTAATTTGTTTGATCGTGACTTTTGTTTCGGTCTTTATGGTGCATACGTCTGTACTATGTAACCCCATCCCCATGACCTCATTGGTGTGCATTTATCAAAAGACAAAAAGAAAAAGGGGCAACACGTCGAAGTCTTAAAACGCAATTATTTTCCCCGAATCGCATTACTGCATCTGATTAGTACATAAAAAATGAATTCAGTTCCCTTTCTATATAGTAAAGTAATGAAATCGAACATCTATCTATCATCAACAGGTATATTTTTTAAATCAATGAAATTAACAATTGATGAGAATGTTCAAAACACATTATATAGATTATATATTATTATGCCTCCATTTTTTTTCTTCAGTCATATTTTTCTTAAATAGAAAATATCTGTTTTCCTTTTTTAATAAAATTTGAACATGAACAATCATAATCTTAATTAGATAGGTAAACAAATATATATGGGAGTTTAAACGAAAAATTATGGATTTTTTTTAAACTTTGCCAAAATGTTATGTATATTGTGAAATTAAAAAAAAAGTATCATTATGTAAATTGAAGTTAAACTAATCATGAATGATTGTTTTTAGATAGAATTCGAGAAGATAGCTCTTATAAAATGCTTTCAAAACATCAAAGGAAAAAATGGGGTCACCGTACGTTTTTTCGTTCTATAACATAATATGAAAAAAAACTGGTAGATTCCTTTTACTTTTTGAATCGGGCGTCACTGATGAGTCTTCTGTAGACGAACATCGCGCCTCGTGTAAAACATAAGTCTTGTGTCTTTGGTGACTTTTTTTTACCACTGGGTCGATTTCACTGCTGGTGGAGATTCCTTCACTTTTGTGTTGACATGACATATCAAGATAAAATCATATTTATAGATTTACTGTTTCCAAAACTTTGAATTGTTCGAAATACTAAATTCTCTAACCAGGGAATAGATCACCTTCAGTTATCTATATTTGAGAAAACCTTTTGAAATTATCCTCAATGCTCTTAAACTTTATTTGGCTTTTTAAGTTTTTTGATTCAAGGTTCACTGATTAGTCTTTTGTAGAAAAGCACGCCTGATTATTTTACAACTACTAGGTCAATGCCACTGCTGGTGCAGGTAACTTCTCCAAGGGTATCAACAGCCCAGAAGTAATCAGTTGAATTGATATATCATCGATATGGTCATATTGTGTATTTTAATGCAAACTTCAAAAACTCGCAAAATGTTTTGTTCTCTTTGCCGATTGACAAACCGTCCAACAATGTGGTAATATTATGATGTAAATAATGCATCGAATATCCTAAGGATGAAATTGTAAATTCTTAAAGATTGAAGGCAGTGCGCTGCATAGAGAGTATAATACGAGATAATCATAGATTACCACATCTCACATTAAGGCCTCCTCTGAACATTTCAAGGTCCTTACTATGAATCTGCTACCTACCGAAACAACATGAAAACCAGGCAAATACCGTTTTAATCGTTTTTGAACGATTAATCTATAAAGTGTTTTTTTTACAGAAAATAATGAAATTAATTAATTTTGTAGTGTAAAGAAATCCTTGAACGTATAATAAGATAAATTACTACTTTTGATGGTTCTTTCAATCTGGTTGATATTTGTGAAATTTTTTGACTCTCTACACAGTAGGCATCTTATTCAATTAAAAAGCTGCTTACAGTTGAGTTGTTTTCCACTCATTTAAAGCTTACTTCTGCAAGAAAAAAAATATGCTTGATATACTTACTGGAACTGTGATTAAATGTTTAATGCTCTCTTTTCTTGTTGACAACATCTATAAAAAATAAGATTTGTGGTATGTACAAAAATTAGGCAACTATCCACCAGACACGAACAGTCAATACTGTAAACATCTACATGGTATGGTACGACCTACAAAAATGAGCAAAACCCATACCTTAAAGTAAGCTTTGCATGACAACATGTGAAACAATTGTATGATTTATGCTAAAAACAATAAACGAGAATCACAAATGGCGAACACCAAACCACGCCAACGACTGAATAACACACAGCAAACAAAAACATTAAATAAAAGAGAAAAACACAAGTTACCGATCTGAGTGAACTTGCAGTAACAATGTATGTTTCAGGAATAAAGTTAATGGACAGACTAAAGGTATTCTTTGGGCCTTACATTGTGCCCCTTTAAGAACAGACTTGTTCCTACATTGCTATGAATGACATTCAGTAAAATAAAAAAAATCGGTTTAATTGAAAAAAAAAAGATTTATAACACGACCCGTTACCTCGACGGTGTGTTGGCTTGCAATAAAAACTACGATTTATAATTTTGTTGCGGCCTAAGCGCTTCTATAGGATAATCTTAATTAGAAACTTGTACATCCAAAACTGTGTACAGCACGGATGTAAAATATTTAAAAAAGAAGGTCCTAACAAGAAAAGGAAAATCCCATCTAAGGCCAATATTAACTATGGGAATCTTAGTTTCTTAACAATTTCTAAAGTTACAAAAAAGGGTTAGTGTTAAATCATGGCACTGACTACTGAGGTGATGATACCCTGGAGCTCCGGACTACTATTCAACAAGAAGAGATATCGACCAAGTGCTATTATATGAAAATAGAACTTAATAAGAAAAACGAAAGGAATGAATTCAAAGGGAAATCAAATTAATTCATAAGTCGAAAACAAACTGGCAAAAAACGGCAAAAAACAGTACAAACCTAGTGATAAGTCTTATTTGGTAGGTTAAATTCGAGGAAAAGAGGACGTGATTGTGTTTACGACACTTGTAACAAATCTGCCGTCATCTCCGAAACATATTCCCATTACAGTCAACAAACTCGTGATAGTATCCCTAAAATTTTCCTCGGGATAATTCCAACTTCCCCATTTGTAAGTCTTGGTTTAATAACTTCCTTGAAAGCAAAACCTTTTGTCAAGGAAATCATGATAAGTAGTACAAGCTCTAGAGTATCCTGTCAAATAGGAGCTAGATAAACTATATGCACGCTCTGCTGTAATGTTGCTACATAGAAATAGAAATACGAAAATGTAATGATAACACAATAATTAAGATGTTTGTAAATTACTATAAACATTTTGTCAAGGGAGATACCTTTAAAATAATCTGATATAAACAGTAATAATAATCCATTTATAGATAAAGATATTTTAGATTCAAAGGAAACGTCTATGCAAATATTTGCGCCAAAATCGACGACTTTTTTATTCCATGTTAATTTTCCTTTTTCTGATAGTGATGTTCCTTTAAACCCTTCTTACGATGTGTATATTTCCCAACTGGTTCGCTATGCTCGTAATTTAGTGACGTTTTCGATTCAATTGAACTATCTATAACTGGTTATTTATTGAGTAGGTATTTGGTAACCGAAATTTACTCAAAATCGTAATGAATTCACCAGCTGAATTGACTATCAATGGCAACTGTAAGCACTTTTGGATCGGTACTTTATGTCTCTTGACTTTTTGATAATTGGTTATTATTTTGTTCATGTCAATCTGCCTATCTAATGAGTGAAAAGCTTCCCAACTTATTTGTAGTTTGTTCTCATGCTGTGCATGTTTACCACTGTTCCAGGTTATGGTGCTCACAAACAGGTTTAACCAAGCGACATTCTGTATGTGCCTATCTTAATCCCGGTGTTTGTAATCCAGAGGTTGTCGTTGATTGCTGTCTGCCACATTTTTGTTTTTTTTTCGTTTATTGTTTTATCATAAATTAGACCGTTTATTCTGCCAATTGTATCACATTAATTGTTATGCCTGGTCATGTTATAGCTTGTAGACGGAATGGGTTTTGCTCATTGTTGAAGACCTTATGATAACCTATAGTTACTTATATCCGCGTATTTTAGTCTCTGATGGATATTTGTTTAGTTGACAATCATACGTAATCGCCTTTATTTTATAAAGATTTCGAAATACGAACTTGAAAAATCCGCTAAGCCGCGTTTGTAATGTCACAATATATGAATAATTCGATTGGGCTAATCTAACTGGAATATATCCTTGCTAATCCAACAAAATCAGGACGGCGTCCGTAGAACTTCCAACGGGATGACTTTAACTTTTATGTTTGGAACTATTGGTTCAATAGAGTCTGTGTAAGCAGCAAATTGCTATTAAAAAGAGGCAAAAGAAACCAAAAGGACAATAAAAAAGAGTCGTACAAAAAAAAAAAAAAAAAAAAAAAACGAAAAAAAGTTAACAGACAAACAATAGTTCACAAAGCACTACATTGAAAACTAAATACTGAACGTCAACAGAAACCCTACCAAAATAATGGGATGATATCAGGTACTGCGGTAGGGTAGAAAAAACATGTTCCACATGTTGTACCTGTCGTGTTGCTTATAACATGTAACAGTTCGATGAAAAGTTTCATTAGGTGATGTCACAATCAAGGAAAAGAGAACGGGATTGTAGTTGTGACCCGTCTTTAGCACCTAAGATCACCCCCGGTATTTTGTTATGTACATGTTGCTCAGTCTTTAGTTTCTTATGTTGTGTTGTGTGAACTGTAGTTTGTCTTTTGGTCTTTTTTCTTTTTTGACATGCCTTTATCAGTTTATTTTTTACTTGTGAATTTGAATGCCCCTTTCGTTTCTTTCGCCTCTCTTTTGTAGTATAACACATGAAACGCGCATACAGCTGACGTCTATAAATATTTTTGTAGAACATAGGAACTATTATGTGATTAACATTTCCTTCAGTCGAACCCAAAATGACATGTCGCTGTTTTTCCTCACATCTAACGAAACCAGTTTTACATGTCGTCGTTTACCCGTCAATCAACATATACTGAAATTTCTCAGGATCAGCTTACTCTTCCGGAACACCTGAGATCACCCCACAATTTTACATGTCGTCGTTTACCCGTCACTCAACATAATCTGAAATTTAAATATGATATAATACGAACTGTTTGTTTAAAATTGACTTGTTTTGTAGATGTCATTACTTGAAAGAAAACTTCTACAGTTGACGCTTCTATTTGTTATTTGGTCGGTTGTCATGGAAACGGCAAGCGGGGCATGTTGTCGTTCAAGGTTCGGAAAGTATTGCTCGGATTGCACTCGCACACATTTTTGCTGTGGATATCGCAGTTGTAACATATTCTGTTGTGGGTGTGAGTGTCGTAAAGCACCAAAGGGGAAACGTTGTTACGTAGGTGAAAGTAGATGCTGGTGTTACACAGCCAAAGGAAAACGTCATGTTACATTTGATACTACAGATATTTCTGCCTATCTTACATATATTGGACTAGATATTAACAAGTAAGTATAAACTTCACAGATTTTCTCAATTGAAAATTAAAAAAAAAAGGTCACATCATTAATAATTATAACCAAACATATCTATGATATTGTTTTCTGTATTGCTGTCCTTTAACGTTTATTCAATCAATCCTTTTGTTAATATGAATGGCACTTTTGTATACAAATGTTTCTTAATGAATGTATTGCTTTCAGTTAAGAATAAAAAAGACTCTTGGCGATGAAGTAAAACATCATTCACAACTAAAATAGATGAATAGATGGTGGTTTAAAAGGGCATAATTCAAACTTGATTAGACCCTTGGTTATATAGTAGGACATCATTTAATCTTGATTAGACAGTTCGTTTTTATAGTAGTACATCATTGAACCCTCGATTAGACACTTGATCATGTAGTAAGCCATCATTGAAACTCGATTAGACCCTTGGCTATGTAGTGGGACATCATTGAAACTCGTTTAAACACTTGTGTATGTAGTAGAACATCATTGAACCTAGAATAGACACTTAGCTATGTAGTAGGGCATCACTGAAACTCGATTGGACGCTTTGGTTATGTAGTGGGACATCAATGAAACCCGATTTAACACTTGGGGTTTTAAAGGGCTTCATTCAAACTCGACAAGACGTGGAGTGGAAAGGCATTATTCAAACTTGATAATACGCTTGGATATGTAGAAAGACATCATTAAAAATCGATTACACACTTGGTTATCTTGTAGGACAACATTGAAACTCAATTAGACACTTGGTTATGAAGAAGAACATCATTGAAACTCAATTAAACACTAGAGGATGTAGTAGGTCAATGTTGTCAATATAATGGAATTTGATGCGACTGTCGTACAAGTGAGAGGTTAAGCGCTATAAAACCAGGTCCAATCCACCATTTTCTACATTTGGAAATGCCTGTACCAAGTCAGAAATATGACAGTTGTTGTCCATTCGTTTGATGTGTTTTATCATTTGATTTTGCCATTTGATAAGGAACTTTCCGTTTTGAATTTTCCTCGGAGTTCAGTATTTTTGTGATTTTACTTTTTTTTATCATTGAAACTCTATTAGACAAATAGTGAAGTAGTTAGGCATCATTCAAAACACAATAAGACACTTGATAATGTAGAAGGATACATTTCAAAACTCGATTAGACAAAAGCCTATGTAGTAATGCATCACTAGATTGGATTTTTTTCTTCTTATTTCTTATTTAAGTGCAAACGTTTTTGGCTCAATATTTTGTTGTCGCAACATGTGTGTATGTGTAAAGCTATGTCATTGGTTGACAATGTGCAATTATATCTAACAATAGATTCATTAAATGAATGGTTTACAAAAAATTCCACAAAACAATTCACCAAAAACTAAAGATAGAACCACACCAAACATCTAGTCAGCTTAAGATGTCATTTCCAAAGACCATACGGTGATAAACCCAAGTCCTTTTTGTTTTTTAACTGTTACAATAATATAACTAATGAATCGTATTTATTTTTTAAAAGATCAATAAGACGAGTGCAACTTGTTCATGCTGACCATAAACATTTACTAAAGGATGTTTGCTACTCTTGTTTTTTATTTTCTTTAGAAATTTGGAATCCTCTTTGTAATGCCAACAAATGTTTTGTTCCCAACTCAAATTTTCTTTTCATAATTTTATTACATATATTTTAATAAGCCAATTTGAAAAATCTATTTAAAACAGTCTTCTATAATTGTTTACTTTTTACACATTGTGACTTGGATGGAGAGTTTTCTCATTGGCACTCATACCACATCTTCTTGTTTCCATTATATAAAAAAGCTACTTATTTAGAATTAAAAGAGCGAACATCTTTAGGTATTAGATTAATATCAGATTTATACGTATTATGCAATTAAATAAGTGACTTAACAAAATCAAACTAGCGTTTTATATGTAAAAAAGTCATATAAATTCCTCAGGTTTATTTTTTATTTTCACTTTGTACCTTTACAAATCTATAATGCCTGGCGATAGAAATCCCTTGGGATTTCCAAGATTTTTATTTATTATAAACAGTTAATGTATTATACAATAATTGAATCTAATATATTTCAAAAATTATTTTTAACTCTTTTTTTTTCCAAAGAAATGGGATGATGGAACAGTTTGAGTTCAATAAAGCCTTGGAATATATGCATATAACGGACAACATGACCGTGCGTCATCATTGGTCCATCATGGACGGAGATAAAGATGGAATTATTTCTCTGGAAGAATTTGATAGAGAAAAGTAATATTTAACTAAGAACATAATTCGTTTTATATCTAAAAGTGAAGATTGAAAAGGCAGAAAGTATTCAATTTTGAAATTAAATAAAACAAAATAGTGCATTACTTCATGTTTTTTTTTTGGTTTCATTAGAATTATTTTTACCTTCGCCAAATATCGACAAGTTTCGTATAATTACATTGTTTTTTTTTATTTCTGAATTTAATTTTATCATTGAGTAAATACACAAGACAACTAACAATGGGAAGATGATAAAGAGGGGTCGAAAAGTCGAAGATAAACAATACGATGACAAAAGTAAAACTACGAAAAAACCAAAGTCCACAAAACACTTCACACAGAAATTAGCATCATTTGTTTTACATTCATCACTGCGGGTTCTTTTATAGCTTGCTATGCGGTATGAGTTTTGCTTATTGTTGAAGGCCGTACGGTGGCCTATAGTTGTTAACTTCTTTGTAAATTGGTCTGTGGTGGAGAGTTGTCTCGTTGGCAATCATACCAAATCTTCTTATCTTTATAATTAGTTTCTTCTTTACTAGCGACACCCGCTGTGTTATTTTCATTAAAATACGTTTATATGTTATGTCATGTGATAAGAAATCGTACAATGGCAGATTGGTGGATGCCTTTTTTGAAACGTGACGTGATTACAATAGTCATCATTTATCGGTTTAAATTTGAATATAATTTTTTTTTCGGGAGAAAGGATAGACTTCTAGAAACAACACAGAAATTGAAAAAATCATATAAAATAGCATTAAATACAACACTACAAAAGTAACAAAAAAACCTATAAAAAATTTTAGATTGTCATATGTCATATTGACATTTAGATAGATAAAAATAACTGTGATGTCAACATTAATAGAAGGCAACCCAAAAGCTCAAAACCAAAAGACTAAAAGAGTTATATATCACCCAAAATCTTCTTAGAAATTTAACAGAAATATTTAAATATTTGCCCACATAATTTCCTAAAGGCAAAAGCAACACGAATTCCGCAAGTTGGCAACTGACGAAGTTCCTCACTGGACACAGAGCTCCCATTGAAGTAACTGAGGCTGTTGCCTCGATAAAAACAGTTTAGAAAAAAAAAAAGAAACAGTAACTACCCCTTGTTATGCAGTTCTAATGGACGTAAGCTAGAAATATTTCCTGAACATCATTTTTAATAGCATTCAAAGCCGGGCTTCAGAGTTTTTGTAAAACTAACTACTCTAGTGTAAATTAGATGTGGATACCAAACAATTTACTGTTTAGTCTATTTTTGGTAATATATATTTGGCTCGGAACTTATACATCCCGTCATTGTGTTATTGTGCTATAGTAAGTTTTTGTATGCCTTTTTTAGTCAAAGATGTTCACTACTAAAATTTGCATTCTCATTATTGACGTCTTTCAGTTTATAATGTTTAATACACTAAAATCGTGTAAAAATAAAGTTTTATCTACTTGTTGTTGAGAAACATGGATCTTTCCAAAATACGTTATGAAATTAACATACAACTATTAAAGATACCCGTCCATTGATTTGATTTAATGAAGGTTCTATACAAATATACCCTTGGTATTATCGAAAAGGACATTAATATAACAGAGGGTAGTTATTATAACAACAGGACATATTTCAATATTCCATTAAATTATACTCCTTTCACAATGCGAAAGAAACAAAAGAACGTTGGTAAATGGAAAGTCTACATGACAATACATGTATAGTATTTGATAAACCGAAATTGTAAATTGCTGTTTTTTGACAATATAGGTCTCTGTAGTCTTCAACGTTGTCTGAAGCAAAGGTAAGCCTATTCTGTACAGTCTTTATGCATGTATGCTAGGAAGGTATTCATTTTATCGGTTATTTGAAAAGGTAAGCGTTTACTGTACAATCGTTAAACATATCTGTTAAAACGCAAACCGTTACTTATAACTGAAAGATCAGGATAAAATAAAGAATATGTCCGGAAATGAAATACCATCGGTTTACTCTTACAAATTTATTTAATTATGTGTTAAAATTGGACCTACAAACGAGTAGACGATTAAATTACATTATTGGCGACATGCATATTTATCAATATGAACATTATAAATTCAAAGGTTTTCTCCAAATAAGTAGCGGAAGTAAAGCAGAAGGATTAAATTTGAAGAGTAGTTATGTAGACTTGATGTATATTGATACTAGATATAAAGTGTATGACTGCATAACAATCGCATTAGTATAAAACTATTTTAAAATCTATAAATGTATATTATTATGTAATATAAGGACACAGATGTTACACTTTGCATACTAGAACTAAGTATCAAATTATCGGTTAATAGACGAACGCATTATTGAATAGTAACTTTACCGAAAGAAAGCTAAAAGTACATATTTTGCTGGTATAGAAATCGCGTGCAGTTCCTCATCAAGTTATTCTGTTACAGTTAAATCTAAGATATTGCCATTGTAAGATAATAAATATTAATAAATATTGAATTACTTTACCCTATGCTTCATAAAAATACGGGTGACAAAAAGTAAAATTCCTATTGCATTGATTTTTAATTATGATTTCTTAGGATTTCAACGTCACAAAGAACAAAATTTTAGAATTTTCACTTGATACAGAGATGAAAGAATGTTTAAATGCGGAAGTTATGTTGAGGTGAACAAATTCTATCTACAAGTAAGCTTTTTATGTGTTACAATTGCAAATACATTTGATGATCTCTTAGTATTCAATGTCTAGTTCGAGCAATTATATTGAGTAATTAATGATTGAACTGCAGTGAATGGAGCATTACAGTAAGCTAAGGTATCATGTACGTTGTAAAATATACAATATTTCGACGAGATAACTCGGTTTACAAAATAGAAACACAATAAAACAAAATACAAGGAACAAGCTTCACGGCTAACTAACTGTTTGCAAACAAATTATAAAGATTAAAACATAAAATCCGCATGAAACACACGTAAAGACTATCAAAGAGAACAAAAAGTCCAATAAAGAAACCGAAAACGGAAACTCTAATCAAATCATGAAAAATCATCTGATAATGATGTATTTTCCATTTGGTAACTGTGGTAAAAATTTGAATTAAACTTTAAAAGCGCAATATCTTGAACATGTTGAATATTTGACTGAGACATAGCAAGTTATATAGGAATCGAATTTACGTAAACGCAGAGTAACTCTTTGTTCGATGTTTTTTTTAATTGCCTACTGGATTTGCTAAACATTGCTCATACATTGAGTTTAAACAATGCAATGTGCTTCTAACTTAAAGATATTTATGATAATAATTATTTTACAGCAAAAATACTCAAATAATAGTGATGATACAACACTATAAAATATTTTTCTCTGAACTAACTAGATGAATAAGCCAACGGGAATGTGGATAGAAAACAGTGTAGTTCTGACAAAAACTTGTAAGGTGTAGAAATCTTGTATTATAGTTGTATAGGGAGATAATTCATTGCACTTGGATATCAAAAGTAGACAATAACACTATAAGATTCACACGAAGAAATGTAAAGACCAGAATATTTCAATGAAAACAATAACCGAACAATTATAATCTAAATTTGGAAAGAAAAATGATTGATTAATTGTTGTTTGATTGTCGTTCAGTGGCAAGTATTTCATGAATTATTAACAAGAGAACAAATTATCAATTAAGACAATAGACATGTCCTTTAAAAAGGAACGACCTATACGAGGGCGATGAATTTGAAATGCCATTGGAAAATGAGTGTATATTTAATAGAGACAGACCTTAATATACAAATCAGGAGATGTGGTATGATTGCCAATAAGACAACTATCCACCACAGTTCAAATGAAGTGGGTATTAGCAATTATAAGCAACCGTATGGCCTTCAGCAATGAAAAAAAAAACCATAGCGTATCATCGGCTATTATAAGACTACTGTAAGATTTGTTGCAAGTCTGACAGAAAGACATACAAACCTTCGGGATATATATCAGCCATGCCTGAATAAATGATAACGACAATACAGGTAATCGACAGGTTGTAGGTTTCCCCATTGCACCTACTATATCGATCATTCTAATAAACTTACTATACAGTAATTAAAAAAAAAACATTTCGAATTTTTTTTTAGCTTCTAGTAAGTATTCTTTGGCTTATCTATTCGTGCTGTTTTTCTTTAATAAAGCATATTAAAATAATGGAATTAACAGTTTGTGAGGCCCAAATACACTTTGATAAATAAGTGGTTCTTTTTATGTCTGTTGAATTCGGTTGACAATTTTGACTTTTCGACTCTGTACACAAAACTTCAACACAATCTTTTCAAACAGAAGTTCTCTAATTCAAATAAAGGGTTTATTTAGAAATCTGATTGCACATTCAGTTTCTGCAACACATATAAAGCCTTCTTCTTTAATGTAAAAGGGAAATTCGCTTGATATACTTACTGGAACTGTGGATAGATGAATAAATGTGCAAAGTTTCTCCTTTACAACATCTATAAACGTTTTGGCAATAAAGTTTATCACATGTTGCGGGCATTTCTAAATCGGGACCAATTGCGCCCCTTTGATGACAGACTTCTTCCTGTATTGTTATGAATAACAGTTTATTACCAAACTGGATTAACATCCGGATCCATCTTATATAAATTCAAAAACACTTACCGTTACCTTCATAATATATTTGCTTTAGATAATAAGAATTTCCTAAGTTTACCTCGGATATTTACCCAGAGAAACTTACTTAAAAATATCTTATTAAGACCACAATAATTGTCCTCTTTTTAATTTGAATATTTCAATTTCATACGGGAAACTTTTTTTCAAGAATTTACGACAAAAGAGACATTTTTTCGTTCCATATTGAAAATTTACCATTTTGGACGGTAATGTCCCTTTGGACCCTTCTTACGGTGTGTTTATTTAACAACTTGTTCGCTATGTGAGTGTCTGTAGTCTCGTTTCAGAATTCAATGAACGTAATTTGTGCATGTTACTGGTAAATAATTACTTATTATTTTAAATCTTTACTAAATGTTATCATAGATTTGGTAAGGATGTTTAAATATACTTGTAGAGTTCGTGTCAAATACGAGATA